TGGCCAATCAGGGCACACCTCGCTTTTTAGACCGATGAGCTTTGTAAAAATCGACGTGTTTCAGAAAGGCGGGGCATAGAGGAGAAACAATAATGTACAGTATGTGGAAAATGTGTTTTTTTAACCTTAAACCGCATAAACACATTTCATTACACCAAATACACAAAATAATGTTTTTAGCAACATCATATGACCCCTTTAAATAAATTTGTTCTCTCTAAAAAAAAACCTTTTAAAAAAACTACAAAAATAAATAAAATAATGACATGTATTTTGATAGCCATTGCTTATTTGTAATGTTTGGTAACTATTTTAAAAACAATGCATTTTTAAGACTTTTTTTATGTATCTCTTCCAAATCAAAAACTCAGAATGCATTATTTTTGTGCACCTGTAACCTTCATCCTCTGGTAGAATGATATCTTTGGGGCTCAGATTGGTGAAAAGTCGAACAGGTGACTGCTTACGGCCTGTCTTTCCGTGTTTATATAGAGGGTGGTTATCATAATCAACCTGAGAATGAAGAATAACACAGGACTATAATACCCTGTAAATGTATTATTATATTTATTAACATGTTTATAACACTATATTCCTATAATACCTGGTAATCCAGCATAGAGAAGGAGGGAAAACACTCCAGGATACGGGACTCAAAGAAGTAAGGGAAGATCCAGATCATTGGCATCTGACCTGCATCGCTTACTAAAAATCAACAACAACAGATAAGAATGATAACAGATTATGAAGTGTCTGAGTCGATTTGTTTTTAAACACGTGCTCACCCTCATGCCGTTCCAAACCTGTATGACCTTTATTTCTTCCATGGAATATAAAAGGAGAAATTCAGTGAAATTGTGCTGATCTCTCCTTTCAGTAAATAGGGGAAACTGAGGGTTTCAAGTTTCAAGTATGCAAATACCATAAAAGTAATTTGAAGCCATATGATAGCTTTGTGTGAGATCAGCAAACACAATTTTACTTTCGTCTTCCACTGAAGAAAACAAAGCCAAATCGAAGTTGAGGCAGAATTTTAATTTTTTGGTAAACTGTTGAAAACTGAGCATTTATTAATACATTTTCTTTGAAAGTAAAACATGCACAAGTACAAGTTGTTGCAAAAAAAGTCATACATGGCTTAGGAAAGCATGCCGTTCCTCATACCTTTATTCTGATTTTTCCAGGTGATTGCCATCTGAGAGAAACTGTTGGCTAGTGGCTTCACTAGGCCTCCGAATGGGGGGTCTGTTATCATGACTACCTTGGCTCCTCCCTCTTCACGCAGAAAGTCTTGAAAAAACGTGACCGCTTCCTGCAAAACAGCGTATCATGACTTATCAGAATGTACTACAGTTGACCACATTTGACGTCAAAGGAGGTTTGTTTTTTTACCTCATCATCAAAAAAGTGATGGTTGAACATATTATAGAGGCAGAACTCATCCTGCCCGTAAAACTGGCAGTACCTAAGAGGGCAAAAAAACAGAGGTTGATGCTTGCAAAATGCATGCAATGCAAGTGTCAACATGCATTTCAGAACAGCTAAATAAAAACCATAATCTGCTGCTACCTCCAAGCCCTGCAGCAGGTCAACAAGTCTGGAATTGAGCAGACATAATCCTGTCAGCTATAAAACATTGCAAAAGTGTACACACACACACATATGCATATGCAGCAGGCTTTGGCTTGTTAAAAGCGGCTACACACCTTTCACATTCCACAGACGAACATAGCAGTGCTTGCAGGAAGACGACGACAACTAAACACATTCACTAATTCTCTTATCCGTCTCTTAGGTAAGTCATTTCATTGCATATTATTCCAGTTACAAAGAACACAACTGTACAAAGAACTGTGTAACTTGATAATGTGCCAATGTTAAGACAAGGCGTATGTGCAGGCTGCTCAAAAGTACGATTACGATTAAAATATTCAGCTCCTTGCTTTGGGCTATGCAGATATAAATGCAACTTTTGGCATTCAGTTTGTTTTAGTAAAGGCTTGCTGTGACATTTTATGCATTAGCAAGAAGTCAGAAGGAACTCGTTTGAATGTCCTCTGAGAAAACCAGCTAATTTAGAACATTTTGTACTTTTTCCATTCCATGCATTCGATTCTACAGCCGTACATAAACTACTAAAGTGATGTTTATGATGTTTCTACACATCAACTCCCATTAGCTCAGAGGAGACTTGGAGAGATGGCAGAGGAAGACTTTCGGCCTTTATCAGAGGAAATAAGTTCCTTCTGTCTGGTTACCGAGACTCGTTCAGGGACACAAGTTACCCAGCCCTTCCCATGCTCTCCAAAACTGATCAGGAGAACTGGAGCCAACTCTCCAAAACCCTCAGAGGTAATGACAGATCTTCTAACCTGCCAGACAAATAAAACATAAGAATGTGGTCATGCCAGAAATATACTATAGGAATACTGTTATAGTTGTTGCTAAGTTTGAACATGTGCTCATGGGCTGCAACAATGAAAAACAAGTTTGAGACTTTCATTAATGTTCAGAAATTTGGGGTTGGTAAGATTTTTTAAATGTTTAAAGGGTTAGTTCACCCAAATATGAAAATTAGCCCATAAATTACTCACCCTCAAGTCATCCTAGGTGTATATGACTTTCTTCTTTCAGACGAATCCAGTCTGAGTTATATTAAAAATTGTCTTTGATCTTTCAAGCCATTTAATGCCACTCAGCGGGTGTTGCATGCATCAGTCCAAAAGAAGTTAAATAAAAAGCGCCCATCCATAAAAAAAAAAGTGTCTCACACGGCTCCAACAGTCCTACACGGAAGCAGCTCCGGGCGGCTGACGTATGAGTTCAGTGTTGCGCATGCGCCGGTGAGTCTCGTGAAAACCAACGTTTGTTAACAGGAGCAAAGGAAGCAAAGTTTCTTTACTTTAGCAAAGGAAAACCAGTCTCCTCTTGGTTTATATCGAAATCCTCCGACATTCTTCTTTACAAATCCTCGTTTTGTACTTCTAATAAGTGACCGTTGTTTTGTTTTGATCTCTCCCCTGCGCTTCCGCGTTCGTCACTTCTGAGCGGCGCATGCGCAAAGCTGACCTCCATACATCATCTGCCCGGAACTGCTTCCGTTTACAACAGTGAGCGCAAGCTAGATTCAAGTGATTATTACATTTTGAATATGGATATTTTTCTTACAAAAACGCATCGATTCGCTACAGGAGGCCTTTGTTCACCCCCCGGAGCCGTGTGAGACATTTTTTATGGATGGGCGCTTTTTATTTAACTTCTTTTGGACTGATGCATGCAACACCCACTGAGTGGCATTAAACAGCTTGAAAGATCAAAGACAATTTTTAATATAACTCTGACTGGATTCGTCTGAAAGAAGAAAGTCATATACACCTAGGATGAGTAATTTATGGGCTAATTTTCATTTTTGGGTGAACTAACCCTTTAAGGATTGATTTTTTTTTGTCTTATGCTCACCATGTATCACTGTATACAAGTATCAGTGAAAACAATTGTGAAATGTTATTACAATTTGAAGTAACTGTTCCATTTTAATTTATTTTGATATTTTATGTTATTTCTGTGATGCCAAAGCTGAATTTTCAGCAGCAGTCTTCCGTGTCATATGATCCTTTAGAAATCACTCTAATATGCTGCTCTGGTGCTCAATACATTTTCTGATTATCAGTGTTAATAAAAGCTGTAATATACAAATATAAAAGTGATAACATCTTTAGGGTTCTTTGGTGAAAAGAAAGTTCAAAAGAACATCATTTATTTTTGATCAATTAAATGCACCCTTGGTGAATAAACATACTAATTTATTAATTTATA